AATTATGTGGCAGTACATTTAGTTCCTGTATGTGTATTTAAAAAAGAACAATGATTGGTTCATGGTCCATTAGCTTCTGCTGATTAAAATTATGTGTTGCTTTCTTACAGCAGTGAGCTGGACATATGCTACTGTTAGTCAGAAAACTTCCTTGTCCAAAGGCAACAATCAGTGAATACTAGTGCTAGAGTATGGGGCAACAAAGAGGAGAGGATTTGGTCTCCGTGTTCTCCTTGTAGGCCTTCAGGGGGCATCTAGTTGGCCGTTGTGTGAAGTAGGATGCTAGACTAGAGTTATTAGATGAAAGCATACCTGTTCTGTAGACAGATTACTGTAACAGGGCTGTTTTAGGGTATGGTTGTCCGTTGTTGGCTCCATTCCTCTCCACCCTTTTGGAACTGTGGAGGGAGTTGTGCTAGATGACCATCTCACTGAGGAGGTAGCTTTCATGGGACTCTTAAGGCAGAAGAAATTCAGAGCTGTACATAGCCTGAAAAGGCACAGCCCTGGCTTGGCTCATCTCTCCAGAGGCAAGCCTGCAACCCAACATTAGCGGCTGGCCATTTGCATGTATGGCTTGATCACTTAGTGCTTGGGAGCTGGCTTGTGGACAGTTGCTGCTTGGCCCAGGTGAGTTGATAAACACTAAATCTGTCATATGTAACTGGGGATGATGCCCCTAAAGTCATCCCTCTCTTTTTTCAACTGTGAGTGACTTGAAGACAGTGGCTTGGATCCACTGGACACTTCCACTTTTGGAAGTGATTTCAATGAGCAGATGATTCTCACTTCACCTCTCCCACAATTCTAATTGTACATAAGCTGCTGGGCTCCACAGCCAATGGCATACTATTGCAATCAAGCAAATTGCCATAGCTTTGCTCAGAAATGATACAAACTGTCCATGTACTTACCATGTTTCTGCTTAGTGGTTTTTAAATCCATATTTCATTCCACTAAAGAGGCTGGTACTGGAGAACTAGTCAACACCTCAGATGAAGTTTACTGATTGTGATCTTCATTTTCTTCAGTATTGCGTATGGGAAAGAGGTGGATTCTTCACATTGTCCTTCTGTACTCAACTGTGATCCTGACTCAAGTGACTCCAGGGGCCTGAGTAAAGTCACACTGGGAAACAGAAATGTGTGCAGACATAATGGCTTACTGGGCTGTATCCTTGGGTGCATGTTGGAGTTTTGAAGGCATTTTTAAATCTCTAGCTAGTCTTCACATTTCACAAAGCTTCACAATTTACACCTTGATCTATATTTATACAGTGCCATAGAAACCATTGCCTGCGTGCCTAGACTGTTTTTCTATTAATATTCCTGTTCTGTGTGTGATTTTGAATAATTTAATTCAGTGTGCTAGTTTAAGTCTGAGCAACTAGTATCCCACGTGATCCTTTTGTCAATCATAACTTTATAGCAGAGAAACTTAACAGCAGTGATATGAACAGGGGCCTTCACATCCTTTTGTCAATCATAACTTTATAGCAGCAGTGATATGAACAGGGGCCTTCATAAAGCACTTAGAGCAAGTTGGGAATTTCATAAAAGTCTAAAGAAAGCCTAGCACTATAGAAGGCTAAAGATGTGTACTATATGAAAAACTTATGATGCTGCCTCCTGCTTCTGGGAGGTTCAGCATTATTATGGGCTTATTCACATTGTGGCTGCTGTATGGAGGCCATTAGAAATGTTTCCATGCAGAAGCCATAATATTTGGGAAGCAACTAAGTATATGGATCAACTAGATGGCATGGAGAGTGTTCATGTGATGGGGCCAGTTTACATGTTTAATTTTGCATCATTTGGGTCTTGCCGTGGAACTATAGCCGTGTAGAAATGTATTTGTGTACTTCAGTATGGTGGCTGTAATAGAGAGAGGGCAGATCTAAGAGCTAGAATGGGGAGAAGCAAAGGTTAAGATAAGGAAAAATTAATAAATGGCAGAAAGCTTTAGAAGATAACAAGCCATGATTATATAGGAAAGGCTTGACAGTAGCACTGTTTCCAAGGATATATCCCAAAGATATGTTCTAGGATCCATTGGTATGGTATTTAATGCTGTGGATATATCTAACCTACCTTATGAAGTGTCCGAGGTAAAATCGGGGAGTTGGAGTGCTTGGTGTCGGAGGGAAAAATAGACATTGTGGGTATTTCAGAAACTTGGTGGGATGAGGAAAATCACTGGGATACGGTGATTCCCGGTTATATATTATATCGGAAGGATAGGAGGGGAAGGGTTGGAGGTGGGGTGGCTCTGTATGTCAGAGAGGGTATAAAGTCCAGAAAGATTGAGAGGCTAAGAGAATTGGATTCGCTTCTTGAAGTTCTGTGGGTTGAAATAGGGGGGCCAAAAGGAAACTTAACACTGGGAGTTTGTTATCGCCCACCAGATCAAAAGATAGAGGAGGATTATAAAATGATGAATGAATTAAAGATAGCAGCTAGACAAAAACACTGTGTCGTAATAGGTGATTTTAACTACCCACACATTGATTGGGTCAATATGTGTTCTAGTCGAGAGAAAGAGATTGAGTTTCTAGACACTCTAAATGACTGCGCTATGGAGCAGATGGTAATGGAACCTACCAGGGGAGAGGCGATCCTTGATTTGGTCCTAAGTAACACTCAAGACCTGGTGAGAGATGTAAAAGTGATTGCACCGCTTGGGAACAGTGATCATAATGTTGTTGAGTTCAACATTTGTACAAATAGGGAATTGACCAAAAAGA